AACTCTAATTTATCAAGACTTCTTCAAGTGAATTTCCTTATCATAGTTCGAATCACCAAGATATTGATTACATTAAGGAATTTATGAAGGTGGCTCAAACTTTTAATAAGATATCAAATTTTATAACTGAACTAGTAGCCGCTTTATATCTTATTTGTTATATGTACTGAATGATAGAAATTCAGTGTCAAAATTATCAGAAAAGAACAATATGACATGGAGTTTGATTTGATCGGTGTTGATGCTGCCATAGCAAACGCGTTAAGACGTATTATGATCGCCGAGGTTATAAATTTTTTTTATCGGTTAAAAGATTTGGATTCGATACTTTTCTATATGTGGTGGACATAAGCCGATATTATTATTATATTTAAAAAAGGTACCCACAATGGCGATAGAGAAAGTTTACATTTATAATAATACTTCAATTGTACAAGATGAAGTGCTTGCACATCGATTAGGTTTAATACCTATAAAAGCTGATCCTGATAAGTTCTATTTCAAACACGGTATTTTGTTATTTCTACAAATTTTTTCTATTGTTTAAATTTTAAGATAAATTATATATCTTTTTTTTTTCTATTAGCTAATGAATCACCCACAGATATGAACACAATTGTATTTAAAATTGAACATGAATGTACATTCAATTCTAAAGCTCGAGATGATGAAACAGATCCACAAAAAATATATATAGGTCACAACCGTGAGTTATCACCAATAAAGAATAATTCATTTTTATGAAACAATTTAAGCTGATAAATGAGTTTTTTTTTTTTTGTTTAAATTAGTTTTATCTGAATCTTTGATTTGGGTTCCAAAAGGGGACCAAGAAGAAAAGTATGCAAGTTGTCCCCTCAGACCGGTCCACAATGATATTTTAATTGCGCAAATGAGACCAGGCCAGGTGTGAATTTTGATTAAGTAATAATTATTATTCTTGAGATTTGTTTCGAGGGTTCATGATGTAAATAAAAAATTTTTAATTCCATAGAAAATAAAGTTAGAAGCGCATAGTGA